ATGTCAAACATACATATCTCAAGTAATCGTGCTGTTGGCGTCATTTGAGAATATGAGCACAGCAGCTTAAGTGTGACGCAATAGTAGACTTGTTACGTTGGACCGGTACGTTTGCTACAGTAAATCCACTAAGATTCTTTTTAAAATATCTCCCAACAGCTTATTTGGGGTATGGCGGACACATGTACATGTAGTGCATTGGCGCCATTTGCTTTGGATAAAGTTTTCTCTGTGCTGAATGCCTTGTATCTAAATTAGGACGGCAAGTTACCCACAATGGCTTGCTTGTCTGAAGCTGGGACATATTTCCTTCACGCTATTTTGTTAAAGAGCACTGTGGGGGAGTGTGAGGGAACTGTTGCTGTGAGTTGTATTCCCTGTCAGTTGTATTCCCTGTGAACCCAGAATTTTCTTACTGAAATCATTTCTGAGAAAAGCACAGGCGCCCACTTAGTGCTCTGCACATAAACAACAGTGAATTGGAGAAGAGACAATTTAGCCCAGCAAAACCTACACAATGCATGATTTGTTTGTGTTCAAGCTAGGCCTGATGCAACATTTAGGCTGTCTTTCAGGATAACATCACAATTTTGCTCATAAAAATGGAAATACTCAGCAACCCCCCCCCCAAAAAAAGAAGAAGAAGCAAAGAAGAAACAAAATACATGTACCCTTTGAAAAAGTGAAACTTAAAAAAAAAAAAGGTCAACTGAGACACAAAGGTGCCTTTTGCAGGTTTGCATTAACACAAATTCATTGGCAGCTACCCTTAAGAGCATTGCAAGCCCAGACATTTTATTTGGCGTCTATAATGTGGTCTCCGAGCGGGGTGAGGTCTCCGCGGCATGGCAGACTGGAAATAAGATTTGTGAGTTGAAAGTAATGGGGGCATATCACATTGGACGAGAGCACAAGGGACGGGGCTGGGTGCAGCCCGGTATGTATTTTTACATAATGAATCAGTGATGATCTTGCTATTTTTGTGACTTGTGACCAGTTTTGTAGGTCTCGAGACCTGGTCTTGGTCTCGAGACCTTTTTTGCGGTCTCGGTCTCGACCTGCAAAAGTCTTGGTCTCGAATTCCTGGTCTTGGTCTTGTAGAAGTAGGTCTCGGTCTTGGTCTCTGGCATCAAGGTCTCGGATACAACACTGCTCGTGACTTGACCTGTAAATACCAGCTTTGACTTGTGTTCAGACCAAATGACTTATGAATTGACTTGACTTGCCCTGTGACCAAATGACTTGTGATTTGACTTCAATTAAGTGACTGGACCAAATGACTTGTGACATGACTTGGAATTGTGACTTGACTTGGACTTGCAAAAAATGACTTGTGACTTGACTTGGACTTGCAAAAATGACTTGCTGTCACCTCTGGGAAATATCACATCCATATAATGAAGGTCAATGCTATTGATGTAAGGAGACAGTTCTGATTAAGAGGTGCATAGTGGATTTCGGATTTTGTCCTCCAAGCGATATAAACTAAAATAAAATTATCAGAATTTACATGGGCGTAATGGGGATGGAAGGGGGCCCTTGGCAATCTTGGAAAAAATGAAAAGGGAAAAGAGGGAAATGAAAAATAGAAAAATAAAAAGAGATGGCAATGACCAGTATGTTTTTTAAAAAAAATCCCACTTTTATAGTTTATCAGTTCACAGCTGATAAGTGCTTTGCCGACCTCTCCCGGAAAAATCCTGGCAAAGCCCATGGAATTCGATTCATGAAATTTACTCCGCCTATCCATAAACGAACTTTCGAAATCATCAAGTTGAAAAACGAAAATGAAGGATAAGTAAAGATTTTGCTGTAACTTTATAGAAATAAATGTTTATAGATTTTTTTAAATCGACCTTTTCAATGAATATATACAGAGGGTGTCCACATAAAAAGTATACCGAGATAAACATGTAATGGCAAAACTACTTTATATGTGGGAAAGAGAAATATATCTCCAGAAAGGTTAGAATGTCCTTTGTGCAATGGTATACAGCTTGTGATGTTATTGAAACAGATGAGTGAACAAACTAGACTGATGTTACGGATATTGACATCAGAACTGTGGAAAGTTGCATAGCCTATTTTGAATAACATAAGTCAACATGTGGGGTGAAGACATGAATGGTCATTCTACCTCCATTGTGTGATCTGCTCACTGGATACAGCAAAACAATTTCAGCATGCTGAAGGAAACTTTCATTTCATCAGCAACTCACTGTTCAGGATTTGCTTCTCGGACAGGGAGCCGCCAACAAAAAGGACTAGGCTGAATCAATGTGCAAATGTATTGCGTACATGGCACTAAAATCGTAACACAGGTTGTTCTGGACGTCCACGAACTGGAAAGTCGCAGGAAAACATCGAATTGGTAAGAGAAGCAGTTGAAGAAACCAACGCTTTAGCAGCAGGAGAAATAGTCCTGGTATACCACATTCAACGTCCAACAACATCACAAGAATGGAATTACACTTTCATCCCCGTCACATCCATGTTTAGCATCAACCCCCGCCAGCAGATTGTGACAGAAGAGTCAAATTATCACAGTGGTTTGTAGATAAATGTAACAGCTAGGGACGAACAGTTTCTTCAACTCTTAAACACTGGAGATGGGGCAGGCTTTTGCATGAACATGATAAATGAAACGGTAACTTCCATAACGAGCATGTGTATGCTGAACGTCGTAATCCACCTGCAGCTGCGTCTTATATGTACGAGCAAAACATGAGCAGGGAGAGAGTGAATGTCTGGGTTGGATTTTGTGGTAATGGATCATTATTAGGACCATTTTCCTTCCAAGGAAATTTAATTGGACAGGGCTACTTGAATCTGATTAATGAATCTGTGCTTTTAGCATGGAACAAATCTTCCCAAGATAAGGACCTTTAGGAGGGTGTGGGGGGCTCAAGACAGCGCCCCACTTCACAGATTTGTTGCTGTGAGGCAATGTCTGGCAGAACTTTTGGGGAACAGAGTAATTTCTGTTTACAATGAAGTTGAATGGCCGCCAGGTTCGCCGGATTTGACAACACGCAATTTCGTTTTACTGATAAGGTTACCTGTAGAACAAAATTTTCACTACACCCTCAGCCAATGTTCAAGAGTTACGTGCAAGAATAATGGAAGAAGTCAATGATCGCTACCAAGACCCTGAAATGATCAGATGAGCAGTAAGGGACATGTTAGGAAGATGTCAGGTGTGTATTTACAGGAGTGGTGACCATGTGGAGGGTACGATCCTTGTTCTCAAGAATGTGTTCTTGAAGTAAAGGCATTTGGTATTCTGCACATTTAAGCATTAGCCTTGTTAAATGGAACTTGTCACAGTACCGATTTTAGTACCCTTACATCGGTTTAGTTTGTTCACTCATCTGTGTCAATAACATCACAAGTTGTATACCATTGCAAAGAAGGCATTCTGCGCTTTCTGGAGATCTGTTTCCCCTATATAAAGTAGCTTTGCCATTAGGCCTACAGTGGTTCCCTTAACATTTCAGGATAGTTAGTTTATGTTCAACATGTTCCAGAGTGGATGGATCAATTTGTAGCTAAAATTTATGGCAAATTTTGTTTTGTTTTTAAATGAAAGTACTTCTAAACCAAGAGAAGACACGGGAAAAAGGATGCTTGGTTGGCCCTTTTTCTGATTGGACAGTAGGACGTCTTTGACCTCTATTAAATCAGACTCTTTATTGACGTCCAACGTGTATGTAACATTTTCTTTATCTCTAAGCCAAGGATAATTTCCTTCGATACTCCTGGAAAACTTTGTACAAATACATCGACTAATGCTTCTGATCAGCGAATAGGAAAATGTTAGTAGGTGCACGGCGGCAGACTTATCGCTGTTACATGGGATACGCAGACATCGCGGATGTCATATCATAAAGTCTTGAATCGCAAGGCCTTTATTATCGTGCCGAACACTAAGTTCATACAAAGGCCTGCCTGCCACTGTCATTAATCAAATTCGAAGATGGCTTACACTTCACACTGTCCAAATCGGGCACTGTCGTGAAGAAAGATTCGGATTTAAAGTAAGTGCGGCAGTGATATTGGAATAGCTGTACCCGTGAAATGGTCTTATGACGAGGCGTTCGGTGGTGGGTTTCAAAAGCTCTTGGGAAATATAGAATTCAAAGAATTCATAGAATTCGAAGGACCTTTCACGAAAGTTGCTACGCGTGGTGACTGGTTGTCATCTAGGTGTTTGATTCTTGTTTATTGAGTCTAAACCATATTCCTTACTAACCCAGACATGAAGAATGACTCAACTCAGGTTTTTTTTTTCCATGTATGACATGCAAACGCTCAGGACCAGATTTCTTGTAAGTTCCCACGAACACTTTTGTTTGCCTATGGAGGTACAGCATATCGGTGTTCGATTGTAATAGTGATTATTCTAAGCAGACAACTTTGTTGGGTTTGTAGCTCTATGGTTTTACGGTTGGGTTAAAAAAATGGGACTGCTGTTAGTCTGAGCACGGAGGACAGAATAAACGGTCGGAGTCAACCAATGGTGGTCAGCTAGAGAGCAACGTATACACCCAAAGGAGATGAACACAACCTTCATCGTACTTTTTCACCATGCAAAAGTCTGCATCTTTATCAGCTGACAAAAACGAAATGTTGTTGTTTTTCCCATCAGATGCCTATTTTAATTTGCTTCTGTATAAGAGGCAATTATAAGTCCAGTGGCTTCTCCTTTTCGTTCAAG